TTGCGTGTGATATGTAATCCATCTCACAGTTCATGGTCTTCACGAAGGATACTGTATTGCGTACACGTCCAGGATACGATTCTCTAGAATACATAGCATTCCTCGCAGTGTATAACTCAGCATATAACTTTAACACGTTAGGTATTAGCAACCGATCCGGTGGCACGGTGTCTTGAGGCAAATGCAGCAAAGTACACGGATGCTCAAGAGATGACAAGAACATGGCGCTTCAAGGCGGTGCCACATTCGAAATGCATTAAATAATCCACTTATTATTGTCGAAATGACACCCATGGGGAAGGTCAAATAAAAGAAGGTTGAATAAAAATCAGTTTTGATAGAAATTGAAAAATTCTTATACATAATTAAATAAATTGAAAAGGGATAAAGACTTTTAAAGGTTTGTGATTCTCACCACTAAACCCGCATTTGTTGCAAAACGACAAAACGACATCGGTGTCAAAATGACACAGAGCCTCGAGATTCTGTTCGCAATTGTGCTTTCTGGCATTATTCATTTTTTATACTAATAAATTAATATGTTTGTTATATAATATGTTTGTCACAACTATAAAGAGGGTAACGGGATGCTCATTCTACATTTGAGAAGAGGATAGAATATTTTTGTTACAAAGTTGTATTAAGGAATGAGGGGGTCAAAAATACATAGATCTTTTTACTGATACTTTATTCCTTGTTATTTCCTTCGATCCGGAGCTCGATATTCACTGCATAACTTACCTGGATCGAGAGAATCGAGGTTACGGGGGAAATATAAAAACAGTTGAATGTTGCTACATGTTCTCTTAGGGAGAGAATTATGAAAGGGAAATATGAAAAAACAAACTGAGTCAAGTTAACATCTAGTTCATTCGTAAATAAGTAAATCTAAATCATTAAAATTAAATAAAACAACCTTTAACCGTTTGCTGGTTTTATTGATCAAGATCAACAGCCGTCGAACTTTCTGTCGCCGGTCGATCATTAGAACCATTGGTGCTTAAATAACTGTTAGAGCAGTCGACAATTTCTCTTGCCACGTGACTCGAATGAAACCTCAATCAAAAACTAATAAACTGGTTTAGAAAAATATGTTTATATTTTTGATAATTACATCCAATTTGATTTTGTAGACCTGCGTATTCCAAGAACGATTGAAAATTACGTTTTGCTCAATATCTTGAAAGAAATTATTAAACTCAAGGTGAAGTGTTTGACATATGCACTCTTGATCAATATCTCTCAACGATAAAAATAGCAACTCAAACTACATTTATTTGATCCTGATACTTTATTCCTTGTTATTGCCTTCGATGTGGAGCTCGATATTCACTGCATAACTGACCTGGATCGAGAGAATCGAGGTTACTGGGGAAAAACGAAAACAGTTGAATGTTGCTACATGTTCTCTTAGGGAGGAAATTAAGAAAGGGAATTATAAAAGGAAATTATAGGAGAGAGATAAAATAACAAACCTAGTCAAGTTAACAATAGTTAATTCGGGCCAAAGGCCCTCAGGCTATCTGTCGCCGCTCGATTAGAACCTTCATTACGCCCTTAGTGCCATAAAAAACTATTATTTATACTGACACGTTATTGTTCATAATTGCCTTCAATATAAAGCTCGAAAAACACTGCATAACTTACCTGGATTGAAAGTATCGACGAAAACATGAAAACAGGAAGAGGTAATATGAAAATGAGGAAATATAATTACGAGGGAAATATGAAAAGAGTTGTGTGATGCTACACGTTCTCTTATGAAGGGAATTATGAAAAGGAAATACGAAAAAACAAACCGTGTCCAAGCTATGATCTACTAAATTTGAATTATTACAATTAGGTAAACAATTAAATATGTAATGTAACACGGGCGTTAACTGGCTCCTATGCTTGAACCAGCGAGGGTCCCGAGGGTCTTTAACTCGAGAGACGTTTGTCGCTGCTCAATTGTCAGAACCCACATAACGCCATTGGTATTACTCGTGCAACTTTTCTTGAACGATGACCTTGCTTCCCCCTCTAATCAAAACAGTGAAACAAATCTCCAGCGTTGCAACTGATGGCAACATTCCAATACATCTCACTGCGCAAATAAAACTATTACGTTTAAAACAGAACTTCTATCAGATTGCTCCAAAAAAATTTAATAAATGACAAAGCAGGTTAAGATCACACAGGAATACCTCGAACTCCTGGAGAAAATTAAACCAATTATTGAGAAAAGTTTCAAGGCATGACTGATTCTCCAGAGATTGGCATTGCTTCATAAAATCTAGTGGCCGATGTCGTAACTAATACCCCTCTCTACCCGCATTTCATCAATCCATCGTTCAAGAAAAGTTGCGCGAGTAATACACAAACGGCCCCCTTCAGGAATGTGTATGTAACAGGAAAACATAGAAACAGTAGCACAGTAAATGATGACCATCAGCTGATATGTTACTTGAGAAAAGTTTATTAGTAAAGAGCACCAAAACGTAAGTACAAAGGGCGAGCGAGCGTGCGCGCGCAGGGCGGCGGGGCCTCAAGGCCGCTCAAGGATCCTTCACGGAGAAGGTGGTGACCTTGCCGTTGTCGTTGACGCCCACCGTGGCCTGCTTGAAGGTGTGCGTCTTGCCGCTGCCGTCGCTGTGCGACGACGACGACGATGACGAGAACACGCCGAAGTTGCCGCTCCCGCTCAGCGGCGCGATGTCACCTGCAACAGGCGACGTGTCAGCCTCCACACATGCTCCACTCGGTAGACATATACGGCACTAGTAAATGAAGTGGGTATTTGGCGTACGAATGAAATGTCGGCATTTTGAAATTAGTACGCCAAGAATATTTCTGCGAGTTGCATCCATTACTCTTTAGTACGAATTCAAGGAAACATACAAATATATACAGTAGACTCCGATTATATTGAACTCTCGGTTGTAGTGAACTTAAGATACTGGTCCCGATTCACTTATATTACAAATAAGCATAAAAAGATCCGGTTATAGTGAACAATGAACATCGGCTATAGTGAATGTAGGAAATACGCTGTGGAAATTAATTCCCACCTGGATTTATTTATTTATTGCCCCTAGAAAAAACTATATCGACTCAGTGACACAAATTACAACATTAGGCAGCTTGGAAAAATATCGTCGGACAAGGGTCATGATCGAAGAAGTCTCCCCTGAGGTGGAGAATGTTTCATTCAGCGGCCAGTTTCATTAGCCGCTTGCGTCGTGCCGCTACTGATATCGTATGGTATTAGGCGAGTACGAGCCTTCGGAGAGTGGGGCGGTGTTCTAATAGTGTAAGAACCATTGAAGGGGGTCAAAATTGCATTACGCCATTTAGAAACAATGGACAATGCAGAACGAAGAGAGCGCGAACTCGAAAAGGATCTGAAGAAATTACTAATGAAAAATGTACGAAGCAAACAATTGAAAATTGAATTTTTTTACGGTCAAATAAATATATTGAAATTTTTATTTTGTGATATTAATATATTTTTTCTTTAAAATAATAAAATTAATAATTGTGGAGAAATTCTATTTAATTTTGGCATCATCAGATGTAGTGTACCAAAAATGTTAGTCCCCAGAAGTTCACTATAACCAGAGTCGAATGTATTATTCGGATCATTCTCAACATACAAGGCCGCAGCCATGTTGATTTATGTCGTTCTGGTGATTTGTTTAATAAGTTCTAGAAATTTACTTATTCATTTAGAAAAAATGTTAAAATGCACATGAAATATTATGCAATAAAGAAGCTATTTAGCATATGAACAAAAGGAAAAAATACAATACAAAATATAGCATGGCCTTTAATGGCAAAATACGCTTTGTCATATTAATTAAGCGGGCCAGCAACTCTACAGTGCCGTGGTAGATATTCGAAACTGCGACAGCGCGACTGTCTCATCGATGACAATTCCCTTTTCCTTCAAAAGGCGTAAATGTCACGTGTTCAGAAGTTTTCATCTCAAAGTATTTTATTTTCGGGAAAAGAGAGGCAGATATGATACAGGCCGGGAGGAAATGAGAGAACGAAGTGGTGAGAGATGGAAAGGATGACCGAGTGAGGGGAATGGTGATATTATGAGAATGAGGGAAAGAGAGGTGTGAAAGGAAAAATGAGAGAAGTTGATAGGAGAGAAACTGCTTGTTAGCAAAGGAGATAGAGAGTAAAAAGTGGAACAGAGAGATGAAAAGATGAAGTGAGGAAGACTCTGAGGGGAAGAGAAAACATAGGAAAGAAGGAGTTTGAAATAAGAAATAGATTCAGTTAGAGAGAGAGGAAGGAAGAGGAAGTGAAGATGGAGAAAGGTCAGAGGGTGAGATAGTGCAGTAGGAAAAAGGGAGTTGTAAATACGGAGAGGATGAAAGAGAGAGAGAGAGAGAAAAGTGGAAAAGAGGAGTGTACAGTGGGTAAAGTTGGAAGTGATTCAGACGTGGCAATAAGTTGGAAATCCCTTGAGAGTGAGAAGAGATGGATTGGTTGTTTAGTAACTCTGGGAACGTTAACTACTATGGACAGTGGTCCCGTAAGTGTGATGTATGTATTATCTCGGGAGGTGACGGTGATCTTCCCCCGCAGGATAGTGTGATTCGGCGCCGACCTACGTTGGCTTGCAGGGACTTTTCCAAACCAGGTATCACTCATCATCGGGGGCACCGCTACCCCCAACCGCGACAAGCTCTAAGCTTCCGACAGGTCTTCTAGCATACATGGTAGTGTAGTGTATGTAAGTGTAAGTGAGTATTAGTAAGCGGTGAGGAGTGGAGAAGGAAAGATCTCGCGAGGTTCATGGTCCGTTTGTTAGGGTACTGCTCCGGCATTGGCCTGGTGATGATCGGAGAAACCACGGAAAACTGCCGATCAGAGCAGTCGGCTGCTAGAATTGTCCAGTGTCAGACCGTGCCTGAATTCGTCCAAGCTGTGAACCTAGTGTCGAAAACCCTGCCACCGTCGGGACTAGAACCCTGAGACCTTCCGGTCAGAGGCACTACAGTGACATCAGTTGGGAAAGAGATGGAAAGAGGAGACGAGAAGAGAGTCGGAGAGGGGGAGAGGGGCGTGGCGCCCTACCTGCGATGCGCGAGTTGAGTCCGGGGTCCGGGAAGAGCTGCGCCTGCCCGAAGCCTCCGCGGTTGTTGACGGCAAGAGACGCTTGCGCGCCGTGGGCGGCGCCGCCCAACCCGCTGCCCACGTGACTGCCGCTGCCGCCGCCGGCGCCGCCCGCGCCGCCCGCGCCGAAGTCGCTGAAACTGGAGGGAGCGTGCCCGCCGGCGTCAGCCCCGCCCGCGCCCGCGCCCACGCCCGCGCCCACGCCCGCGCCGCCCGCGCCCCCGTGCCCGTAGCCGAAGCCCGTGCCGCCCCCTGGACCGCCGCTGAACGCGCCGGCGTAGTGCGAGGCGCTGCCTGACTGGCCCGGGTACACCAGCTGCCCGTGGCCGGCGTCCACCGTGTTGCTCGGGATGGCGTTGGCGGCGGCGGCGTTGAAGCTGCGAAGCAAACACACCGCGCTCGTCAATTGGAGGTGTTCGAAAGGCTCCCGTCCGCGCCCCAGCGAGGACTGCAGGCCTGGTTTGCGACGGTTGCAAATGCGTGGCCGCCGCATTGTTGCCACAAGCCTTTCCTCTGTGGGGACAATGTGGCGGCGACGGATGTACATACGGCACAAACCACTCTTCTAAGCCTCGACTGAGCACGGAGAGACCCATTTGGAAATTTAGAAGCATGAGAGAAAATAGTTAAGTTACACACAAAAACATGCATTCATTTTTACCAACTTCACATTTAAAACATTATAGAACTCACGAGTATGATATAATTAGGAATTTAGTAGTTCACGGTATTTGGTCGGAGTGAGTAGAAAGCAATTAAACCATTAGTTTGCTGACGTTTCGGAATATTATAAAAGAATTATGGAAATTTTCCATCTCTCAGCAACAGATTTTGTTTAGCCCTTTGTGCCGTGGCCAGAGTCGGACGTATTGCGGGATGGACACTTGCGCTGCAGCAACTCCATGGGTTTTGCTTGGAATCCGGACAATGTTGCTGAGAGATTGTAAATGTTCATAATTCTTTAGTAAGCCGTGATAATGGAATAAAAGTATTCAGAATATTCGGCAAACAAATGGTTTATTGTTTTTCTACTCACTCCAACCAAATCCTGTGCACTATATTCCTAACTCATGTTTAAAGAGTATACAATTGCGCAAGTCTTGTATATTTCAAATCCCTAATTTTGTAGCTTTTAAGATTCAATTCTGCCATTTTAAGCAGGTCATATTTCAGCATGTCATTTTAAGCAGGTCATATTTTGTGCATATATAAGACTAATTCAGAGATAAAATAATAATAAAAACATATTGGGTAGCTTAACATAAATTAGAAATTACTTACCTGTATCATTTATCTTTTTACTCATTTCTCTCCGAATCTATTATCCCTCTTCTTACATGACCTCTACAATTACTACCAACGTAAGGAAAAGTGTGCATCTGTCCTTTCTCAACGCTTCTTTCCTCTCCTGTCTGTCATTTTTCTCTTTCTCTCTTCCACTCACACTCACACATACACACACACACATTAATTCATTTACTCATCCATTCATTTAAACATTCGCAGTCCACAATTGAACATACGTTTGAAGTTGTCTAGGAGGTTCCAAAAATGGTATTAAAGAAATGCCTGAAATCATCACTAGCATTAGCCCTTGCGTATTAGAGGACATCTCAATTCATTTTGTATTTAAATATGTTTCGTTAGCTCACAAGTGGTATCTCATCAATAAAAAAAATTACAATTCAGTTAATAAATCAGTTCAGCCAAAATCAAACAGCAAAGTGATTTGAGACGTTCCCTTTAATACACATTTTTATTTTACACATAATTATCATCAAACATATTCAAAAGTATACTAATAACTCATTTCAAATTTCAGGGAATCATTATCGCTGTTTTTACTGTAAATTGTCGGTGTCACAGAAAAAATCGTTTATACTAATTTGTCAACATTATTTCAGCGGACAGCGTTTTTTTTCTCCACCACTGTAATCGCGCATGACAAAAAGGACCTCTTTGTCAAGAACAAGTCAAGAACACGAAGCTGTCAAGGGCACAAAAAACATAATTTGAACAAACTGGCATTCATAACATTCAGAATATCAATTATTCATTCATAACAATTCGGAAGATTTGTAAGTTTAATAGCAGATTCGTGATAATTGTATGAATATATCTCATGTATTCATTCCCGCACATCCTTTGACTTGTCACTATACCGAATGTTCCTGCGTCTCTTTTGGCTAGTCCAACGAACTCTTGCATTGGCTACCCATAACCGCCGCTACCGGTTACTGCACATACCTGGCGCGGCTCCCTGTCCCCGCCCCCCCGCGCGCGCGCCGCCTCAGCCCCCCCGCCGCTTCCGTGCGCCGCGCCGGCCGCCCGTCCGGTGGCAGCGTGCAGCGCGCTCTCGTGCCCGCAGAATTGCGCATGCCCACTCCCAGCGTTTTGCAGGTTAATTGCCACCAACACCCGCCCGACCGTCGAACATCACACTCCCCGACAAGTGGACACGCAATGGACGACACGACACAAAAAGCAAAGGGTACACGGGGAAAGGGCTCACAAAAATCACACGAGGGCACAAGGTATTCGGTAATAAAATGTGAATATTCGTTGACAGGGTTAGTAGGGACAAGGTTAGTTGAGTTCACCAGACTCAACTATTGCTATAGTGCATTCCTGAATTCCATTTTACTCCAATTATTTGATTCTATTTATTTACAATCCAGCACCACCAAGACAGACTAGCCCGTGAAGACTATTACTACTTTTGAATGTTGTTCACAAATCGTTCTCAGACTAGAATTCTTCAAGTGATGGATCTGACAATCGCATATTTGCCGTAATATGACGATTTCAGTCATGAAATTATTACATGAAGCCTGCTCATACTGTGTATATTCCAATTGCTTTATTAAACATTCACAACTTATGATGAGAACATTAGTAAGAAAACGTATCATCGTCACTGTCTTTTCCAAGAAACGCATAATAAGCCAATTTTTGAATTCCATGAATACTAAGAAAAAAATGTACACAAACAAAAATCGCTTGAAAACACATTATCATACGGAAGACGTTTTGTTTTCCAGGACACGTATTTTGTTCGTGCTGGTAGCGTGACTGAGGTTTCAAAGATCAGAAGTGTGCACCGATAATAAGCAACGCACAATAAATATTCATACGTTGTTCATATTCATTTGTTTCCAGGAAGTAGAGAATGCTTCCTGTTCACGTTTCTTACGTCAGTGTCGTAAACAAGAGTAGGCGAACCGTTTATAACATACAAAACAGACATCCTCCTACAGTCTAGTTTCTTATACGTCATTCCACAAATGAGCAAAACACAAATTTACGTAGTGGGTGAAACCATCAAGGGGCAAACAGAAAAGAGGAGTGTCTTGCGCAAGGAATATTATTTGAACGGTTCAATCGAGAAACTTAAACTTACTCTTACTTGCTCCTATTTCCTCGTAAAAAATACCAACCTGTGCACTTTTGTGAAAAAACCTTTTCCGCCGCGTTTCACACGTCAATAGTTATGTTCTTGTGACCTACTCAAATAACACATCCATACCTGATAGAAAGTTCATATCCCGACCTGGTCTTTCATACGCTACTTACTGCACTGACGGAAGTTACACACAAAAAAGTAGGTCTACCTGCTGAAGAAAGGCACACTAAATAAAATCGAAGGTGATTGAACAAGACCTTCCGTAATTTCTCATCCAGATGAGTTTCTTTATCGGGAGCCGTTAATATTTCTGAGCTGATTGTGCTAAACTCATGCATTTTTAATTGTTAGATTTTAATTGCAGAAATAAATAACTTGTTGTACTTAATGAAAAAATATTATATAAAATACTTGTATAATAATGTACTTAATATAAAATTTAAATCAATTAATTTAAATTATTGATTTAAATAATGAATTCAAATATGACGTTTGGGTAAAAGCAAAAACAAAGAATACACATGAAGCGGTATGTCCTTATATCTGTCGAATGAGACAGCTGCCAAGAGAATTCCATTATATCTTTCACAGACCAGCGCACAGCCAATTTTAGCGATTAGGAAATCCCAGGTCTGCAGGGTGCGTTCAAAAGCGCTTTGCAAGTGCGTATTGTCCGCACCACAAAGAGACCTTGGCTGTTCTCCGCGCAAAGTTCTTCGAACTAAAAGCTCTCCGAACAGAACTGAGGCATGGAGACTTCTTTGATGCTCAAATGAGAATAATCTAAAGTAAATTTTGTAGAAAGATGTTTTCGAACGGTAAGACACTCGAAGTTAACTATTATGTCAAAGGAACCGTCACAACGGCCAAGAGTACCGCCGTTATATAATATTGCGTTTTAAAATTTTAAACAGATTTCGAATTGTAGGCAGGATATTTTACTCCAAATAATCTTCGTACTTAACCGCTTTACTGAACTTGTAAAGAAAAAAGCAAAATTATTAATTTAAGTTTGAATCCTAATGCTTTTAAATAATATAAGAATCTAAGTTGAATATATAATGTTTGAATTTACTCAAAATATTTTCGATTGATTTCTGTACAAATAGACTTAAGTACTTAGTATTATATAAATGCACGTTTTTTATTTGTTCTTTTTCATTGCTCACAAAACTAAAGTTAAATGGGAAAAAGTTATTAACTCTGCTGCTGAAATACCATTTTATTTATATGCATAACTTTTAGAGATTGAGCTTATCGTCCATTAAACGTCATGTTGCTTAGTTTCTTAGAAATTCTGTTCAACTCGCTTGACGTCTTTTTTGTTCTACATAAAATAAATACTTAGGTACAACCTGGCTTTCATCGATTACTTTACATTTTCGAGCTCTTATCAGATTTGAAATTTTCCGGACATTCAAACAACAATAAAAGTAAGAGAATGCAGCTGAGAGAATAAAAGGTTCTATAAATTACATAGGAGCGGAAAATCTAATGTAAAAGGTGAAAATATAATCGTTTTCAAGACTCTCTGGAATTATTGATAAACCAAATTTCAATATAATACTTTCGTTTGACGATTTTCTACTTTGGTAACTCAAATAATGTACCTAATTCATTTTCACTGACATATTTATGACATGCATTGATTCATCATAAGTCGCAAATTACAGTAAATAATGTAAAAAGCACAATAACACATTCACCCTATTTCCATCTGTTTATTTGACTGACCAACTAATTCGTCAATGAATTTTCTATTCTTCTCTTCGTTTGTCAGGTTATCTCTTTAGAATTTATTCCTCCCACAGAACGAACTGGGACTGGGTTCCTGGGTGCAGATAGTGTCTGCTACTGAGGTAATTACGTCTTTGAAGTTGTGTTAGTACACGTTTGTTGTTATGATTGTTTGGGATGTGGTTCGATGTTGGAGCTTGAGGTGTTGTTAGCACTGTGTAAATAACTCAGGTTGATGTCTTTCCTGGCGAGGTTAAGGGCGACATCCTTTTGAGTTATTTTCAATGTTGGTGGTGTTAGCATCCAAAGAGTGGAAGAGGCAGTCAGGCAGACAGGTGATACCGCCTAGGGAATGCCACTGATCTTGACTTAAAACTGAATAAGGCTCAACTGTACAGACAATGCGTACGACGAAAACAAAAGCCGCGACAAAAGAAACATTTGCACATATTTTTAGCGGGAATTTGAATAGAGAAAACGCTTATTTGATAATTTCTATACCTAAATAACTTCCCGAACTACAAAATACTTGACAAATAAATTGAAAGAATTGAAATTTATAAAAAGGTTTATTATTACAGTATTCTGAAAAAGTATTCTGAAAAATTCATTCAAAAGAAATAAAAATATATTGATCTCGAATACAAATTTAACGCTATAAGTTATTTCTGATGCATGAGGAAATGAATTTTGTTAATGAATTGGGACAAGAGGGATTTTTTTTTCTTAAATAAGGGTTCCCCTTGGATCAATTGCCTCGGGCCCTGGCTTTTTCTTGGCGCCCCTATCTATTCAAATAGACTTATTAGAACGTAGGCTTCCGCGACCGGAGTCAGTAGCTACTTGATTGTGCGTTTGCGCTTCTTGTAAGCAGAGGCGCCCAGAGAAAACTAAGATCTCTGATGCAGTGGGCTCCTTATTCCAAACATTTTTTCACTCTCCACCCCGAACGTAAACAGAATTTATTTCTCCATTCAACAGTATAGTCATAAAACCTAGAGCGGTTAATTTAAATTAGAAGTAAATAGATTTTTTGTGAAAAAGTAAGTTGGGTCCTAGAACAAGTTACTTCAGCTGCCCCTGCGGAGGGCTTCATTTCCCTTTCCAAGGATAGTACGTGGATTAAAGATTTTTGTTCCCCGAAACGCCAGGTTTGAACCTGAAGTTATAATGCACCTCACTAAATGTGACACAAACGAAAACCGCGACCCCAAAATTGAAGTGCGCATTTTTTCTCGCTAAGGATGGCCTTCAACAGGTCACACTTCTTGTTAGCTATTCCTTACTCAGTTGTAGCAGGAGATCTGAGTGTGGCGGGGAGTGAAGTGTAACGATTGAAGAGAATTAATTGTGTTTTATTAAATATACATGTAGCAACCTGTTATGATAATTTAAAAATAACAAGAGAAGTTAGATAAGTGACTATCTAATTGTGTGGTAATTAAACGAAAAGAGAATTCAAAAAATATAGTATTGAAGAAAACAATGAAGGTTTTGAACTAGACACTACCAAAGAACCTTTAAATTTTTAGTACAAGAAAAAATTTATAACTTATTTTCTGATTTAACTGCTGCCACCATTTTAAACCGTCTACGGTAGCAGTAGTGATAACTTTATATCATTTTCTTCAATAATACTAGTTTTAATTTCCCTCTTAGTTACTAGTACATACATTATTATTTACTTATTAAAGTAAGTTAATCTGTACTTAATAAAATAATTAAAGGCGTCTCTGCCAATAAAATTATTTATTACAATAGTGGCTTCCAAACAGCAGGAAGCTGATAATGAAGCTAAGCCATCGAGAGTGGCTCTTGTAATAAATAATTGTTGGTAATGACAACACCTATAATTATTTATTTTTAAATATTACCGGCAGCTCGCCGCTAAAGCAATAATCTGTCCTAAACCCACTTCTCTCGTTCTTTTTAATTACCGCAGGGGTGACAAAAGACTAGAGAGTGGTTGCAGGGGCCGCCACCAGGGAGGCAAGTGAGTGCGCGCGAGCGCGTGCAGAGTGCGCGAGTGCGGGCGGCCATTACCGGTGCGGGAAGAAGCTAACGGCCGAGTGCGAGTGCGAGGCGGTCGGCACGCCCGAGTAGTAGTGGTAGTAGTTGGGCACGAAGGCCGGGCCGGCGCCGAAAGCGCCGCCAGCCGGGTACCCCGCCGCCGCAGGGTGCCGCCAGTCCGACCAATACCTGGATGGCCGGCGAGAGACGCGCGGAGAAACAAGAGAAAGATAAACCCTCTTCAAACGCCACTCCTTACACATGACGAAGCGAAAGCTGGAAGGTCGTGGCGGCGCGCCGTACGCAGCCAAGCGATGCAAGCAGCCCTCGCTCGCCACGCGCCCAAGCAGGCAGGAGGAACGAAACGACGCTCGGTGCAAGAACGTCAAGGTTAGAAACAAGCTCATCGGCAGTCATGCATTTTTCAATGTTCGTGTTAGTTTTTTTTTTTAGGTTAAGCTGAAAGAAGAAACGATGAGATATGGTACGATTTTGCCACACATAAAGCTTGGTGTTTGTTCGGTTAGATTGCAAAGCAAACTCTAGAATTAATGTATGAGGGTGTATGCCATGTTTGTATGTACAGTATGGGTGAACATAAATTAATAATGCACTTGTGTTATTCAAAACATTTTTTTTTTTCGCAAGATGTTTGAACTTCCGTATTTCTGATTATAGCAATAGGTGTTGAAATAAAAACGACTATCGTTAGTACAATGTGAGCAGAAAATCTATATTAAATGTAACGTCAATAATAGTAATTGCAGAGGAGAAATTCGAAAGTCCAAAGTCACTTCTAGCAAATATGGTTTGCAGGTGCCGAATATTTCCCGACATGTGAACAAATCAATACATTATAATTATATACTAAAATATTATTAATTTAGGAATGCGTTGATTTGTGTTGGGTAAACATTATTACTCAAATAACTATTCCCGAATAAATAATTCCTTCTCTGATAGAAAATCCTTCAAACTTGCAAACTTTTATGTCCCAAGCCCAAGCTATGGGTATCTTAAAGTAAATTATCATATCATTCTTTTTCAAAACATGCAATTATTGGATATAAGAAATTCGGCACCTGCAAAGTTTACATATTCTTCAAGATAAAAGTCTTGTTCATAATATTTATTTTCTTTGGTCAGTAAAACTCACGACATATTCATTAAAATAAGTACAAAATAAAGTAACTAACAATACAATAAAATCTTCAATAGCTAATATTGACAACTCCAATTTCATGACAAAAGTAAAATATTACATTATGATGCAAACTTGTTTTGTAACTACTACCTATGCTACGCATTTGGTAATTTATTTCTCTAACAATAACATTAAAGAAAAATTACATTGCCAGTAATGATTATTAATTATTATACAAATTATAAATCTTAAAACTGCGGGGTTGGGATAATCCTTGGACGCAACATACGTTTAAGTACTGAACAAACTTCAGTTTGATTGTTCCAAAGAAGAAAATATTTACTGTTAACTTACTTTTTAAAATAATATAGCGTATAGAAATCGAAATGCCGACCTCGATGACCGATATGACTAAGAGCTTGTACGAACTCAGTACGTTGGTCTGAAGGGTCGCGGGATCGAGTCCCGCCTTAGGCATGGTTGTTTGACATTTGTCTCTCTCATGTATGTCTCAGAGGGCCTCGCGTTCTGCTGGCCCCAGTTCAGAGGAGCCCGCTAGTGTGTTGTTGCCTAATTTACGGTCGAAAGTGCGCCCCATCGGGACGTAAGGGGTAACCGGACAAAATCCCTAGGAATAATAATAATAGCACCGAAATACCACCCCGAAGGAGAGGTGGGCGGGCGCTCACCTGTTGGAGAGCGCCTGCGCGTGCGCCTGCTGCGCCGCCAGCAGCGACTCCATCTGGTCGAAGTAGGAGCGGAAGGCCGAGTCGAAGGCGGACGGGCCGTACCCTGCCGCGCCCGGGAAGGCGAAGCCACCCGCGCCTCCTGCAACAGAATCCTGCATCAGCGCCCTGCCGGCACTGGAGCGTTGCGCCGCATCTCCTGCAGCCGCACCGGCTCAGCGTGTCAACTGACGGCACTGAAAGGCCTCTGGCCGGGAGGTCTTAGGGTTCCACTCCCGACGGGGGCAGGGTTTTCGATACAAGCTACAAAGTGAGGTTCAATTCAGCCGCCGTCTGGAGGAGCATTGTAGCGACCGAGTTTTCCGTGGTTTCTGCGATCAACACGCTCTTTCCTTCCTCTTCCTTATCTTTTCCTTACTTACACACAACACATGAACTACACTATCACACTCATCAAGAGACCAGTCCCTCTCTTGAGAGAAAATCCCTACAAATCGACGTACGTCAGCGCCAGATCTCGCCATCCATCGGAAGAAGATAACCACTCCCTCTCGCGATGAAAACATGCACTACACTTGCGGTACTAATGACCTTAACCGTTGTCATCAGTGATTGTGTGTGAATAAGTAAGGGGTGATGGTGGGACGAGGAAGTGGAAGGGAAGATCGCGAGTGATCAGTGGCCCGTTTGGTAGGGTACTGCTCCGACAAATTACTACCTTTATCGAAGATACAAAAATCAGTTTTTGTTTGTTCGTATTTTATGCGATTGCGATACAACTTTGTCAATGTATTGCTTGTACTTGCACGAAGAACATAGGCATAGTACAAGGGGGAATGAACATAAGTTTGTCGCACATAAGACGCGAGTTGATGATTTTATGCGTTAATGCCGACTCAAGCGCCCCTGAATAGAAGCATTACGCAACCCGCCGCACCCTCAAGTTTTAAGCGCGTCTTCGCTGTATACATTGCCCCTGTGATTGTGAAATATCGTCCGGAATTATTACTTGAACGTTATTTCCTACAAGGAAATTTAATTTCTCCAAGACAGTGTCATAGAGAATGCATGCCCAAATTTGAGGGAGAATGTTTTGGCAATAGTATACTTGACAATTATTGTCCAAACCAGGACTCAGAACAAACCCATACACGCGAAAAAGTCTTTCATTTATAACAATTTGTGCAGAGCGTAAGGTAAAACGTAATTAATAATAATGTGATTAGTAGCGAGTGATTGTAATTTATTATATTAACGAAGCATTGCCGGTTCCACTATTTTAGTATAAAACATTACGCACTACATTATATTTTATACATCAGAAACCCAAACAACACATTCTGGTGGTAATTTTTATTTAGTTCATTTCTTACTGAAAACAATGAATCGTTTAAAAATCAAAATTTTAGCCATATCTAAAAATTATTCTATAGATTCCGGAGTGAATTATTAATTTAGAGCAATTACATGCATTTCTTCAATTTCGTAAATTCGAATCCTATCTTAAATCCCCTCTATTGATTGATTGGTGTTTCCGGACACGACAGCTGCTATGATAATTAATTCTGTAAATGTAGTGTATGATATACCGAGAGGTGTTGGCGTCTCTCCCACACAGAAATATCTAGTCTATCGCCGACCTATAAATCGGTTTGCAAGGTTTCTCCTCTAGGTATCTCCTCCTAATAGGGTTACGTCCCATCCGGGTCAAGCTCTAACCATCGTGACTGGTCTCTTGATATGTGTTTGTGTTGTGAATGTAAGGGTATGAACTGTGTGTCTAAGGGCAGAAGAGAGAGCAAAGACAAGGAAGGGAAGATCGCGCACGGTCTGTGGGCTATTTTATTGAGGTACTCTTCGAACATTCACCTAATATTGATAGGAGAAACCACGAAAAACATACAGTCAGAGTTGCCGGCCGCTAGAATTCTCCTCCTGACATTCTGGTTGAATTCGATCTAGCTATTTAGCTGGTGTCAAACGTTTGTCACCTGCGGGATTCGAAAACTAGGAACTCTCTCAGTCAGAGCCCAGGCCGAGCCCAGACCGAGACCAGGGCTATGATTCCACGAATCGGCGGATGAATCTCTCCCGAAATAGCTGTTACCGCACCATCAATAATCGTGGTTATGGAAGTTAGTGCTGTACATTCGTTAGAAGAAGTTGCGCTGCGTCGTGCAATCTCTGTGTATAACTGAAAACGTAAAACTCTGTATTATGAATGCTAATGGTCATATGTCTGGTTGGAGTTCGTGACAAAATGCTTTTGTGTGGCTCCATCGATCAACGTTTGTGTTTGGGACCAGGGAATGTGACTGTGGTTTCTGGCCTGTCAGCGTCACCTGAAATAACAGCGACCTCGGCAATGGTATTACGTTAAGTATACGGGAGGCTTTTCAGTTGTTATTATTCTTCAAGGACGAACCTTTTTCCAGATTTGAATTTCCACAAAGATCGCCCCATTGCCACAAGTTGTGTGTAAAATTCGGTTGCTATTGGTTCAGTAGTATTTGAAAAATGTATTGTCCAAAAGTATTTTCGACTCATTACATGCAATTTCTAAAAAAGTTTACATTTTATGGACATAATAAAAATACGCACTAAAATAGAAATTATTTCTCTAAAAAAATTTAACTATTTTGGTGCAGGTAAGTTTTGTCTTTTTGCTTTTCTTTATACGTACGTATATATGAAGTAATTTACGAAGTACGTATTTACGTAGTGTAGGGAAAGTTATGTAATGCTGAGGAAAATCGATTTCGAGTTTTCAACGGAAATACACGTCTTGGGGTCCCATGATACAGAAGTGTTGTTTTTTTTAAACGTCCGTCTGTCCATCCCTCTGTCTGTGTCTCTGTCTGTTGGTGTATGTGAACAACGCTAACGCCTGAACTATATGAATGATTTTTTTTCAAATTGAAGAAACTCGTGCCCATTTGGTCTGAATGGAAGCTCTGCAATTTTGAAAATCATTCATTAGTTTTATGGGGTACTTTACACGAAGACCCGGGACATTTTCTAAATTTTCTCAAATATTTTTCCAATTTGTTTCTTTAAATACGTTATAAGAATAGAGAAAAATGCACTTATAAATGTGTGGCATAGGTCCGATTTTCACGGTTAACTTTGTATTTTCGAAAATTTCAAAAGTTTGAATTTTTTGGGGTCTTCCTTTCGGAGCGATAGATGGCAGCAGGCAAGAGGCAAGTTCGAATAGCCGAGACCAAAGGAAATAGATCACAAATACGGGAAAGACTGTGCCATTCTGTAAGCACCACTAGTTGATTTTACTTTCTTAGAGTTTGGTTTAATGTATTTTTCAGGTAGTCAACAAAAGTGGTGCAGATTCATTAATTTTCCAGTACTTTCCGATTGCACCATTTTAATGGTTCAATATATTAAGAATGTAAGTTTTTTGCCTTCCTTTCCATTTTTCATAAATATTTATATATTTCCGGAAACTTGTGGCATTGGAGGCTGATTATCACTACTGTAAAGGAAATTTTTTTCGTTACTAGCATTTAAGGCGGAAATATTACTTAACCAGTATGTCGTTCTCACAATTACTAGCATGTTTGTATGGATCTTTTTAATTTATTAATTAAAATTTTGCTTCAAAATGAAACAAAGTTTAAAAATATAAATTTCTGTTTGTATTTTTCCAAAAATTTAATGTAGACATCCTCGAAAGGTACAGTGATACTCGGGAACTAAAAGTAAATATTCAAAATAATGAAAATGGTTGTACTGAAGAATGTGTTTATTTGGGGATAACAGAGAAATGGTATTACGCAAAGAATAATTTCGACGTTGCAAATACTTTTACGTATCTTGGTGCAAAATATTCCTTGATCAAGAGATGAAGTAGTTGCATAGTGACGGTCCAAAGTAAAGGCCGAATTGAGCTAAAAGAAATATGACGGTGCTCACACATTCTCTGATTTACCTTTAAAGGTTTGCAATACTATATTTCAATCACTTGTTCTTCGGGATACGAATTACAGAGCGAAAATCTGGGAAGAAGATAGGACTCGTCGAATGCATCGAAACCGATTATTACAAATTAATTCTTGGAGTCTCTAGAGAGGAAGATAATGACCGCATCTTGAAAGAGGTCAGTATTGTAAGAATTTGGGAAGATTTAAAAATTCAATCCACTAAGTTATAGATTAAACTAACAGCTGGCACGTTTGACTGTGCAATTAAACGAAAGCGAATAGCGCTACTGGTCGTACCAGGGGTACTGTTACTCTAACGAGTATATCTGGGAGACATCTCTGCGGAGATTGTTGGTGATAGGGTAAGAAACTTATAAAGTAGAACGCTTAATTTATGAGAGATTTCTGGATAATAAAAAGGCAAGATACAGCAAGCAGCAACGGCAAAAAAAATGCTCGCTGGTGGTACAAGTGTTCACTCACTTGTAGGGAGAAAAGAGGGGACTACGCGTAGTTCAGTGTCCGGGGTAGAATGCAACGTAGAACGAAAGAATCAAATGGCAATGGTATCGGCATGCGTTGCGGTGATGTATAAAACCCTCCTTTTAAACTCCTTTTAAATTGCTATGCCACAGACAAATGGGGGGGAGGAATGCACGGGAATGAGTATCTATTACTTCTGATATAGAAGCTTGCCCATGACACTGTAAGAGATTAGAGGTCGCATGAAATAATTAGGAAGCTTTCTAGGAAAATTCGAACTATTAGAGAAAAGGTAATTATGGAGATGGAAAATAGTGCTAGTTAGTGTAATGAGCGGAGCCTGGGCTGCACAAATATAAACAATAAATAATTAAAACATTAAATATTTAAAAGAGGACATAGGAGGGTAAATGGAAGTGGGTGTACAAGAAGTAAGTACAGAGGCGAGGGACGTTCTACTCTGGCTGTTTCAATTCATGAGCTGAAAAGGTCAAAGTCTGGACGGGGAATACGTGACTTTTACGCCAGGAAATAAATAGTGTAGAAAGAATTTGGAAGATTAGTATGTAATCGTCTACTGACAGTCGGTTTTTCCTAATTCAGGGATATTTTCCTCAGTCGTATCAAATGGACACTTTTCCGAGGATTTGAGGCGATGGAGAAACCATCTGGGAAGAATAACATA